TTTGGTAAGTTCCCTTCCTACATTCGATTCATTAAACCTAGGGGACTATCGATGTTGAAAAAAGGTGAAGCTTGACTTAAACCAAATTTCCTTGAGAAAAGTTGAGTATAGTAGATGATGAGTTTGATATCTTTCGATTGAAAGCCCGACACTAGAACATCTTGGGTTAAATAATTACTCTATACATCAATTAGTTCTAATTGTAGACCTGGAGTAGGAGCTGGGAATCTTGACTTAAACCATGTTGGTCCTCGAAGCCTATCACTTATTTTTCCATGATATGTAATGAAAGGAGCCAAACATGAGTCTAAATAAAATCGAGTCAGTAAGAACTTCAGATAAGTTTTATAATTGGCTTCATTGGAGGATTTTTGTTGAGAATGTCGGGATGATAATCAGACACCTTCTAAATTAAAATTTGGGGGAACGTTGGATGGTGGGGGAAGGATACTTTCGAAAATCGAAGTTAGCCATAGTTGGATGAACCATATGGGACCTGAAAAATTTCCTGAGGGTTTTTGAGTATTCAAGATATCAACTGCCTCATCGAATGCTGTATAGACATGAGCCAACAAGAGTTTTGCCAAACAAATTCGAGGTTGACCGGTATGAAGAAGGTAAGCAAGATTATAAAAATGTGATGAAATTTGGATAGATCGAGGGCAAAAAACATGAGTGCAAAGCCAATATACCAAAAACGCAATATGTTCTTCATTGGAAACTGCAATTGATTGGTCATCGATAAAATGTTTTTCGATGAAATGACCATAGGCCTTCGCATCCCAATCGATTCTTGCTTTGAGAGAATCTTCAGAAGGGAAAGCAGTCTTAAAGTATTTTTCCCCTGTAGGCTTTAACCTAGTAATTGCAGCAATCTCAAAAAGAGTAGGGAAAAGAGGACAACATGGAAGCTCCATAGCATGTAAATCCTTATTCCATAAATGAACTGCGGATAAGAACATGGGCATATCTAGAGATGATAAATCACATCGAGATAAGTGTAGAAAGTCAAAATCCCTATGTCTTTCCAATGATTCCCAAACTTGGTTTTCACTCTATCAAACCACCTAATATATAAGGGTTTTTTATGCGAAGGACCAGTTCGATATACTTTTGAGTTAGCATTTAGGAAATCGATCCTTATCTCAGTTTTGTGAATAATGACTTTGCTTTTGGAAGGCAGACAGATAGTAGAGGAAGATGATACACCAGAATAATGAATAGGACCACCGAATGCATAATCAACATTATCAACTGTATAAGGTATAAGTACTTGTGTTTCAGCGATTTTTTGCAAAGCTTCTTCCAACAGTGGGACCGGAGCGAACTTTTTGTTGAACATACAAGGACTTGATGTTGAACTTACATGGACATGAAACTTGTTGATTTTGATGATGATTCAAGAACAAAGAACTTAGAATGTTGAAGACTTGTATTGTTGTGTAATAACTCTGTTTTGATGAGTTTGAGTCTGTAATATTAGAGTCTAAGATAGCCAGTACATAGTCTACTCTTTAGAAGCTTCAAAAACTGATATTTATCAAAAAGCCTCGGGTTTAATCGATTAAATCACCAGATAATCGATTATTAAGTGAGAAAAACCATTTTCTATATCTGTTCACTGTAATAATCGATTAACACACCTGTTAATCGATTAAACTAGTGCGTGTTGGGGTTCTATTGATTTTGGCTCTGTAATAATCGATTAACACTTCATTTAATCGATTGTTTCAGTCATATTTGGATTTTTAACTTCAAATTAAACCTATTTTCGAAAACCCTAATCCCAATACTCCAAGTTCCAAAAATCCCCAATTCCCAAACCCTAATTCATCTACTTAAGGTTCTCTAAGGTTCTCAGAAAAAAGAATAACCTTTTTCAAACAGAAGTTAAGAGCTGTGATTGCCAGAGAATTGTTTGTTGGAGGAAAAAGGGGCTTTTGGAACCTGGTGTGGGCTAGAAGCGATAAGAATCACTAAGTGGAGTTCTTAGTGGATTGTGTGTTGTGTCGTCTCTAGGGAAAGTTGTTCTTCATCTCTTGTGGATTTCAAGAGAGCTGTTTTCTTTACTTTATCTTTTCCATTGTTATCTGTTTGTAACAACTTTGATTATAGTGACAACGTTAATCCTCTGTTTGAGTGATTAGCAACTGGACGTAGGGTCTTTTGATCCGAACCAGTATAAATCTCCTGTGTAAGACTCTATCTCTATTCTATTTACATTTACACAGTATTTTAATCGGTAAAATTTGGAGAAAATTTTAAAACCTAATTTTTGTTAAGAAACCAATTCACCCCCCCCCCCTCTTGATTTTTTTCTGACAACGCGAACATTCCGCTGCATGATTCCAACACTTTCAGCCGTTTATCAATATTAAATTTGAAGTCACCGTCGACAATGGCAGGATGGGGAGGTCAGAAGATTTGGAGGTTGTCATGATAGCTATGTAAAGATTGAAGATGGAGAAGAGGTGATGGATGAGGAAGATGGGTTAGGTTTAGTAAAGATAATGCAAGTTGGTTTGAGTATTTAAAAGGGGTCAATTAGGGCAGTTGAAATGACGGAGGTGGAAGGAAGTTAAATGGAGACGTGACAAAATTTTTTGAAAAAAGACGAGTTTTTAGGAAAATCTAGTAACATTAATAAGGGGAATGATTTTATTTGACATTTGATAATAAAAACAACATTTGGCTTCAGAACATTTAAGAGTTAAAATAGATATTTTTTGAAAGAATAGAAAATTTTGCACAAATATTTTATTCTTTCAAGGGGGCATTTTGTTGGTGAGGAAAAATCGAGAATCTGAATCGAAAATCGAAAGAAAGAATTCGATGATTATTGCTGAGGAAAATCGAGAATCTGAATCGAAAATCGAAAGAAAGAATTCAATGATTATTGCTGAGGAAAATCGAGAATCTGAATCGAAAGAAAAATAGAGGAAATTCGATGAACATGATTAAGGAGGTAAAAAATCGATTATAGGTATTGAGTGTGAGGCTAAGTGGGAAGTTAGAAACAGTTTTAAATACTCGATGGTTGAGGTCGAGATCAAGGGAACGATTAAAGTGCACATGGAACATGGGAAGCGGTTTTCTAAATCGTGGCTAAGATGAAAATCGAGGAACGGTTAATGCGCACATGGAACATGGGAAGCGATTTTCTAAATCGTGTCTAAGGTGGAAATCGAGGGACAGTTAACGTGCACATGGAACATGGTAGCGGTTTTTAAACCACTCGTAGGAGGTTACCTTAAAGAACATCTATAAATAGAGCGAAGCATGAAGGCGGAAGGGGAAATTGGCAAAGAGAACAGAAACACAAGTGTACAAGTCTACCGGAGAACGACTGAATCATGAAGTTTCTGGCGATCTGGATTTCCATTTTCATTGACTGTTGTTACCGCTTTCTTTACTTTCCCTGGTACTTTATCTTTAATGCAATCTAATTTTACGTGCCTTTACTTTCATGTTATTTCAATTTCATTACCCTTTACACTTATGCAATCTTAAGATTCTGCATTACATTTTTGTCTCGATAGTTTTTAATGTTTTCTTTACTTTCCCTGATATTTTATCTTTAATGCAATCTAATTTTACGTGCCTTTATTTTCATGTTATTTCAATTTCATTGCCCTTTACACTTATGCAATCTTAAGATTCTGCATTACATCTTTGTCTCGATAGTTTTTAATGTTTTTTTTACTTTCCCGGTAATTTATCTACTTGCACGTTAATTTTCCTTCCAATGATGTCGATTACTTTTATGCGCACTTTAATTTATGTCATTTACTCTTAGTGCAATTTAATTTTATGTATTACTTTGTTGTCTCGATGTCCTTTTACTGCTTTCTTTACTTCTGTTAAAATTTCATATTCTCGAGTCTTTTAATAAAAAAAATACAAAAAGAGAACTTTCGATTTCAATATGTATGTTTTATCACGCTTTTTGTGTTTCTAATATACGCGCTTGATTTCATCTATTTTGCTCGATATTTTTATATTCTCGATTTACATACATTTTTTATTGAAAAACTGTTTGCTAGCCTAAATAAAAAAAAATTTACGTGGTTAAAATTTGGTTAGAACATAAGTCTTTAAGAAATCGAACACAACTCAAATTTTCACCAGAAACACTACCTTATTTATACTAATACGAGATTTCAATCACATTTAAATTTTATGTAATTGATCATTAAATTTGTTTTAATATGGTATAAATAGGTTTCTATACACATTTTATCTTGATGGATAAATTAATTTTTTATATAATTAGTTACTAAATTGTTGATTAAATTAAAATCTAAATCAGTATTTAATCCTAAAGTTTTAACTATTTACTAAAACTATATTTTAAATTAATCTCTAATTAAATTATAACTAATTTTATCATTTTAAAAATTAATTTAATTTTTAAAAAAAATTTCCTTCTAGTGAATATAATAAAATTTTCATGACTTAACATCGACGTAATCTATTAAATTTTTATTAAATATTTATCTAAGTAAAACTAGGATAAGGAAGAACATGCTTGTTCAGGCTGTTATAATAAGTTTGATTTATTATATCTAACAAAAGCAGTGGTCGGGGTGAATCCATACTCCAACCAAATGTTTGTAGCAGTGATTTTTGTGTAAAGAAAAATCTTTAAATATGACACAAAATAAATATGGGTGGTGATATTTTGACAACTACAAATTATACAACCCTTCAAACAACTAACTTTTATTAATATAATAATCTACTGAATGATTTAATAAAAATAAAAATAAATTAAAACTATTATTATAATATTAAAAGAGAGTTGTATACAGGAGTTGTATGGATTTTGGTTGTCAAATTATCATTTTCCAATAAATATATGGATGTAGAAACTTGATATGATACATTCGTGCATGCACCTAAGCATTATAAAGGGTGAAGTTACTCTTACATGCTTCCTCCTCTTATTCTCAAGTTTCTTAATTCCCAAACATCATCTCTTTCTCTAACCTTACTTTCCCATGTCTTCCACTCCCCCCAATCTCATTGATTTTTTGGTGAACCAAGCCAATGGAGTAAAGGGTCTTGCTGATCTGAACCTCCCAACTGTTCCTCCCCAATACATTCAACCTCTCCAAGCTAGATTCGATCACACCAAAATTGTCCCTGAGGAATCAATACCCATCATTGATTTCACAAAGTGGGAAGAGCCAGATGTCCAAAATTCCATTTTTGATGCTGCAATCAAGTGGGGCTTCTTCCAAGTCGTGAACCATGGGATACCCTTTAAGGTTATTGATGATCTCAAGGCTGCAGTGCACAGTTTCTTTGAATTGCCAGCTGAGGAAAAGAAGTGTCTGAAAGAGAACTCACTCCCTGAAGTTGTCAGATTGGCCACTAGTTTCAGCCCCCATGCTGAGTCAGTTTTGGAGTGGAAAGATTATCTGCAACTTGTGTATGCCTCAGAGGAAAAAATTCATGCACATTGGCCAGCTATATGCAAGTAAGTGGTAGTTCTAATCACCTGTGATTTGGTTGAAAAATGCTATCAAAACACTATGAAACGCATCTAGTGTTATTGATCGAAATGTATTCAAATTTACAAAACGTTATTGACCTTTTTCTGAACTCAGTCGTGATTTTATAGTTTTCAATAAATTTTAAACATCAATACAGAATTTGTTAAACATCAATATTAGTCCACCATGAACTTTGAGTTCATGAGCACAACAGAGAAGAGAATTGATGTGCAATTTCAATTATTTACTTTTTCTTTTGTCCTTTCATCATGATACAAGTGTTTGTTAATGTGGTTCATTGACTGCCTTTCATGTAGGGTTCAAGCATTGGAATATATGAAACATTCTGAAGTTTTGATTAGAAAATTGCTAAAGGTGCTTCTTAGGAAATTGAAAGTGGAGGAGTTAGATAAAGCAAGAGAACACACTTTAATGGGTGCAATGATATTGAGTTTGAATTACTACCCTGCTTGCCCTGACCCTGAAGTTGTAGCAGGAATAGCCCCTCATTCTGATATATCGTCAACTACTGTCCTTCTGCAAGATGATATTGGAGGGCTTTATGTTAGAGGCAGTGATGGAGATAGTTGGATCTATGTTCCTCCTGTTGAGGGAGCATTTGTGATCAATATTGGGGATGTGCTACAGATAATGAGCAATGGAAGATACAAAAGCATAGAACATAGAGTGGTTGCAAATAAAAGGAAGACCAGAATCTCCATTCCAATATTTGTCAACCCAGCACCTGATGCTCTTATTGGTCCTTTATCAGAAGTGTTGGAAAATGGTGATGAACCAAAATATAAACACCATTTATACTCTGACTATTTCAACTATTTCTTCAGCAAGGCTCATGATGGGAAGAAAACTGTTGAATTTGCCATGATATGATTAATGAACATATTTCTGAAGATTTGGTCCTTAACCAAATCAAATAGCTTGGTGTTAATCTGCGATTGTATGATTTGTGTGTGCTCATGGTTCGAAGTTTTTCAGATCAATATTGCTGGAAAATGCATATCATGCTGATCTTTTCAACTGCATCATTGCATGCTACAATAAAGCAGAAAATGCAATAACTTGTATTTTTGTATACAGTTGAAGTTATAGCATATTATGTAATAACTGTATTTTAAAGATCAGCTGTGGTTCCTTTACAATTTTGATAAACATTTTGGATGATCTTTACCTTAGGAGCATGTTGACAAACATTTACTATTGAGAGAGGAAAATGTTTAAATCCTTTTGAGCTAGTAGTGTTTTCTCTAGGCTGAAGTCGAAGGCATTTATCATATGTTGAGAGAATTAGAAAGTACCCTAAAAATATTGAATTATTGTGCTACATTAAAAAAATATAATTCAGTATCGTGTTTGGATTATAAAAAATTGAAATATAATTTCAGATCCTGAAACCGTGACGGTTTGCTATCAACTGCACGAAGCCTCTTTAAGTGCTAGTCAGGTTTTGTAGGTGGGAGATGTGCAAACCAATTGAAAAACTATTTTTTTAATAATTCTATATGAAAACAGTACCTAATTTAATTTTATTAATATAATAATATTTAATTTTATCATATTTATTATTAGTATATTATCAAATAAGAGCTATAGAATAGATGCTTGAGAAAAATAAATTGTATGGATATGATTGCTCAAACCATTTTTTTTAATACTGACGATAGAACAAGAAAAATGTTCGTTTACCTCTTCTTCACTGTTAGAATAGAGACTTTTCAAATTTGTTGGTTTTACATTTTCAAATAGTAGGTGAAATTAGGTGACTGTCAAGTTTTGAGTGGTTCTGCTAGGCAGGGATTAGTCATATTTGTTTGCTTGTAAGACTACATTTTGTTTATTCTGAAAAAAAGAAAAATGTGAATACATACATTTCTTCCTCTTTAGAAGATGTGTTCTGTTTTTCTTTCTTCTCTTATTTGGTTTATTGTCCGCAAACACATATTATTAGACTCACTGATTTTGTATGTCTTTGACTCTCTGTAGGGTATTTTTATGAAGAAAAATTAATTCAAGAAATCCTTAAGAACTGAATAAAATATTTGTATGAAATATTGTATGATGCAAACATGTTATTATTGTTAGAATTAATTTAATTAATTCATTCCATTATGTGACTCATGTGAAATATAATAATGGACCCAAATATAATTTAATAAAATATGAGGACCTATTAGTTATTATGTGAAGTTAGAATAAAATAAAGATAAAATAAAAATATTAACTTACGGTAACCAACTTGATGGACGTTGGTTAATAAAATGGAATAAGGGTTCTGTATCTGGTCATAAGGTTTTTTTCACGGTAAACCAACAAAAAAGCGTGAGAAGAGAAAGAAAGACAAAGAGATAGATTGGGAAAAGGAGATTGGAGAACAAAAAGATTAAAGAATAGACTCTCATGGATCAAGGTTAGTCTTCTTACTATGATTCATGTACTGATATATGTTATATTGTGAAAATCAATAATCTAAAGATCCTGTAGAGTAGTTTTCCATAATGAATTAAGAACGTACGAAAACTACATAATATTTTACATGTGGTATCAGAGCCAGGTTATTAGATTTATGATTTTCCTTGTATGAAAGTTTTCCCAAATATTAAGTTTTTCCCAAATTAAGATAAACCCTAATTATGAATTTAGGGATTTCTCTATCAGATTAGTATGAAGCCTAATTTATTCCCAAATTTATTTTTCTCAAAATTAAATAAAGGAATAAACCCTAATTATGTTTTCAAGTTCAAATTGAAACCAATTTTATAGCCCCTATGCGTGAATGAACCCGTAATTGATTTTAATTGAAAAGACAAATGATGTGATAGGGTTAGGGTGAATCATGTATGAAATTAGTTTTATTGTATGTTATAATTATGATGAGATGTTATGATGAAATGTTATAATTATAATGGAAGAATGATAAACTGTAAAGTTGATAAACTTTACGCGTAGAGACCACGTGTTAAACACACAAGTTTCATATATTATATTATATTATTTATAATATTATTTTGTATGTACATATTAGTAACGGGTGACTGCTGAAGCCATTTTTCCCCTATATTATTTTGTCCCTATATTATTTTGTCACCATATTATTTGTACATTCTTTTGAACGTACATATTTTTTTTATGTGGGTGAAAGATAATTAAAGAGTTATTTTTATGTTAAGGTGAGTTGTATAATATACTCATACTGTAAAGCTTTGTTAAGGGTACTGTAAGCTTTGTGAAGGGTACTATAAACTTTGTTTGTCAAGGGTACTATAAGTTTTGTCAAGCTTTAAGGGTACTGTAAAGGTTTGTAAAGCTTTATTTAGGGTACTTTAAAGCTTTGTTAAGGGTACTGTAAAACTTTGTTAAGGGTACTCAAAAGTTTTGTTAAGGATACTGTAAAGCTTTGTTAAGGGTACTATAAAGTTTCGTTAAGGGTACTGTGAAACTTTGTTAATGTACCTATAATGTAAACATTGATAAATGAATGAATTTTGTTTTGCAAATTGAATTGTATTATTTACGCTGTGTTTAAATTACTCATAAAAGTTTTGAATGAATGACAATTTCACTTTTACGTGAAATGCAAATAAAGGTCTTGGATTGAAAATCAATAAGGTTATTTTGATTTCAAATTATTAATGATTTTATTTCAATTACCCATAGTATGAATGCTAAAATTATGAATAATGATTTATGGGTTAATTGAAGTTCATTATTATAAGGCATTTCAGGATCACCCAAAGGTTGATTAGTTGTTATTATAATTAATGAACATGAAAGTAGATAATTTTGTGTGCGTCAGTAGTTTTATTTATATACCCAAAGGTGTTAGGTGATTCTAGTTGATGCATATTTTAATTATCATTAATATTACAAAAAGATTAGCGTAATTATGTTTGTGTATTAGTGAATCTCCCAAAGGAGAACATTAGTATGCATAGAATGGTTATTTATGTTTGAATCTGTATTTATGTTTAGTTTTTATGACTAAAAGCGTTAATGTTAGGCATGTGTTAATTAAAGTATTTGTTTATGTATTTCTACATTCGCTTACTTCGTCTGTTACAGTCTTTAATAGATTAAATTTCCTTACTGGAGTGAGAAAGTCCAATTTCACTTAGGTGAGTTGGATTTTGATTTGGCTTTCCAACTTGAAAACCTGGCAGCTATCACTAATGCTAGTAGCAACAAAGAGAAAACTCATTATAGAGTTTGGAAAAGGTCAAACAGATTTAGTCTTATGTTTATGCGAATGAGTATTGCAAGAAATATTAAGTATGCTTTTTCCAAAACTAAGGACGTGAAAGAATTTATGAAATTTGTGGAAGAGCACTCTCAAACTGCTGACAAATCCCTCGTTGGGTGTCGCCGCCGTCAAAACGAGGCGGTCGGAGCGACGCGATGGTTTCGACTTTCCAATTTTCGCGTTTTTATTGGTGTGGTTACAACGCCTTTAGGTTGTCCGATAACCGGGCTGAACCTAGAGGCGAGGTTTTCGAAAGGGCGCTCTTGGGTTGTTCGATAACTGGGCTAATCCAAGAGCTAGTTTTGAAGGGTTCTTTGGAGTCGCCACCGACGTTTTTACCGGAAACATCGGAAAAGGGGTTAAAAGGCGTTGGTTTTTGAAAAACCAACTTTGGTCGTTAGAACCAGAGTTGGGTAAGGGAGTTAGTTATGTGTAAAGGAAGTGTTAGTTCCTTTACGACACCCCTTCCGGGTTCCCTATGATAGGCCAGCTATTTAAAATAATTAAACCGGTGAAAAATACGTTTTTACCCTTTTATTTGCGGAATTTAAAGATTATGACTACATGGCCCTATATCTATTGCATAATTAAAATCAAGCGGTAAAAGAGAGAGAGAGAGTGTGTAGAAACCTCCGAGGCACGCTTTCTATTAATTCTTTCTGAAAATAGGGTGCTTTGCGGCAGCCCTTCACTCTACACAGCGTCGGAAACATCTCGAAACGCTCAAAAACACTCTTAGAAACGCTCAGAAACTCTGGAAATGCTTCGGAGGGGTTCTAGAGAGAGAATTTGAAGAAAAGTCTAGAGAGAACGAGGAAGAACTGTGTGGAATGAGGGGAATGGGGGCCCTATTTAAAGGAATTCGCGTCTGTCAGGTCGAGATGGGTCGTCTCGTCTGACAAGGTCGAGACGGCGGTCTCGCCAATCGAGACGGTCGTCTCACCTTGCAGAAATGGCGAGACGGACGAGACGACCGTCTCGCCAAATGAGACGGCGGTCTCGCCATTTGCGCAAGGCGAGACGGCGGTCCCGAATCTGGGACGGCGGTCTCGACCTTAAAAGGCGAAAATCCTTATTTTTGTGCTAAAAATCCCTCTTATCCTAGTATGGGGCCTAATAGTCTCTCCTAGTGGCTTCTTAGGCTTCATCCATCTTCGAAAAGGAGGTCTTCTAGTCTTTATTTTGAGGTCGGGCAAGATTAGGGGTTTACAGCTGCCCCCCTTTACCTGACCAATCGGTTGTTGGCCTATTGTGCCAAGAAGATCGACTGGAAGGTAAAGGAGTTGACCTTCTTGCCCGGTTACCCTTCGGATGTTCCGTCTTGTGGCGGTTGATCTTCTGGGGAAAAGTTGTGATGTGCACCTCTAGGATACTCCTTCTGACGGTAGCCGATCCTTCGGTTGACACATGGTAGAACCTCAGGATACTCCTTCTGACGGTAGTCGATCCTTCGGTTGATGGGTATAAACCCCCCATCAGGCTGGTATTTGCAGTCCGCTGTGTGTTGCACTGGATGAGTATGAACCCCCCCCCCATCAGGCTGGTAGTTGTAGTTCGCTGTGTAGGACTGGATGAGTATGAACCCCCCATCAGGCTGGTAGTTGCAGTCCGTTGTGTAGGACTGAATGAGTATGAA